CTTGCAGCTAGCAATACTAATTATAGAGAATTTCGAATCCTTCTGGCTGCAATTGCTCAAAGTTTAGCACTTGGGTTTTTCTCCACTCTATCTTTAATTTCAGTTTTTCTCACCCCCCACGCAGCTAGGACCACAAGTCCAACCTTGAAGTGTTGATGTGGGAGCAGGTCAGCCTGGTCGTGAAGAGCATCCCCCAGATGGCCTCGGGTTTGCATTCTGGCTGCTGTTTTCCAGCTCACCTTTGAGAAGCTGTGTTGTCTTACTGTGACTATGCTGTCAGCACCAGAACACTTTCTGGGCAGGTCTGTTAAATTCAGCGAGTTTGAGGACGGTAAGGGCAACAATAGCATTTATCATAACCTTAGATAACATATGTGGGAGCTCCTCAAAAATGGTTTTTTTTAAAAATAAGAATAATTTAAGCTATAGCCCTGTGGGCCGGGCCCAGCTGCTGCAGGTAAAAAGACAAGAAAAACTCTATCCCAAGGCTGGGCACGATGGCTCACACCTGTAATCCCAGCACTTTGAGAGGTGGAGGCAGGAGGATCATTTGAACTGTGGAGTTTGAGACCAGCCTGGGCAATAAAACAAGACCCTGGCCTGGTGCAGTGAGTGGCTCACATCTGTAATCCCAGCACTCTGCGAGGTTGAGGCAGGTGGATCACTTGAGGTCAGGAGTTTGAGACCAGCCTGAGCAACATGGTGAAACCCCATCTCTACAAAAAGATACAAAAGTTAGCCGGGTATGGTGGCACGCACCTGTAACCTCAGTTACTCGGGAGGTTGAGGCAAGAGAATCACTGGAACCCAGGAGGTAGAGGTTGCAGTGAGCCAAGATCGGGCTACTGTACTCCAGCCCCGGCGACAGAGCAAGACTCTGTCTCAAACAAAACAAAACAAAACAAGACCCCCATCTTCATTAAAAAAAAAAAAAAAAAGGAAGACATGTTGTGCATACTGGCATGCTGTGTACACCCTGTCCAGATTATTGTGTCTGAAAATGCTTGTGCTATTTAACTTAATTTAATTTGTCATTCTTGCGGAAAAGGGATTATTCAATTTAAGGGGCAAAATAAGGTCCAAATCTATTCAAATAGCACACAGTCGTTGCTGTGGCACCCTGACCCTTTGGAATGCAGTGATGAACTCAATTGAAGAATTGCCTGCTGAGTCTTTACTGGGCACCAGGCACTAACCATGCTTGGTAACTCAATAAAGACAAGAAGGAGGCAACTGGGCTCTGCCTTCAAGGAACTGATGGTTGGGCAGAGGATGCTGGCAGCAAATAACTGCATATTTTCACTTGGCCCCCTTGCATCTATGGATGTGAAATTACATCCTCTCAGTGCCTGGGATGCTGGCACAATGGCGCAGAGAGGTACCTGCTGTCATCGAAGGCCACAAAGCACGTTAGTGGCTCTGCTAATAGCAGATAGCCCTGTGGGTAGGGCCCAGCTGCTGCAGGCAGTGTTTTTACAGTATTGAGACCTCTTGGCTAAAGAAAGAACAGTTGAGAAAGTCTACAAACTGTACAAACCATCCTTATTTGAGAAGTAGAAAGATGGATTGGTTTCTATCGATTGCATATCTGTAGTAAAAAAAATTCACAGTCAAATTCTGCTTTTTGTTTTTTAGACACCCATGAGGTAAACACTGTTGTCAGAGGAAACAGTGGAAATGAGGAGGCTGCCCTTGTCTTAGAGAACCTATCAGGAAATGCTTTCCTAAATAGAAAGTATCCTTATCCATTGTTCAGCATCTAATTTCCCCTTTGTTCCATGTTTGATAACAATAGCAAACCTTAATTTCAGTCCAGCATAAAGAGATTATTGTGAGTTTTGGGTCAGTCAGGTTTGCACTAATGAGTTTTGACTAAATGTAGTTTGAAACCTGGATTTATCCTGCTGGCAACAACTGAATATCTTGACTCCCCCTTTGAGGGAAAAGCAAGGGAGGTTGGCAGCTTCTGCAGAGGTGGTATCTGACTTTGCTGATGCCCCAGGGGCTGTAAGTGGATTTCAAGACACATGTTACTTTTGTTAGTAAAACACTACTAACTAAAGCATTTCTTCAGGAGAAATGCTTAGAGGAAGAAGATATTTATGTTTTTTTTTTTTTTTTTTTTTAAGATGAAGTCTCACTCTATCACGCAGTCTGGAGTGCAGTGGCATGATCTCGGCTCACTGAAATCCCCGCCTCCCAGGTTCAAGCAATTCTCCTGCCTCAGCCTCCCGAGTAGCTGGGATTACAGGCATCTGCCACCATGCCTGGCTAATTTTTGTATTTTTAGTAGAAACAGGGTTTCACCTTGTTGGCCAGGCTGGTCTTGAACTCCTGGTCTCAAATGATTCACCTACCTCAGCTTCCCAAAGCGCTGGGATTGCAGGAGTGAGCCACTGTACCCAGCCAATTTACCAAATTTTTACCACATTTTACCCTTATACAGGAATGGGAAATGATGAAAATCTCGTGCCAGGGAAGAATATAGGAGGCACATATATTGGTTTGCCTGGGACTGAGTTAGTTTGTGCCCATTGCCTTAGCAGCCTGTTTGATGTAACATGTCTTCGATTCTTCATTTTAAAATGAGATATTGGCCAGGCATGGTGACTGACACGTGTAATCTCAGCACTTTGGGAGGCTGAGGTGAGTGGATCACCCGAGCCCAAGAGTTTGAGACCAGCCTGAGCAAGATAGCAAGACCCCATCTCTATTAAAAATACAAAATCCCATTAGCCAGGTGTGGTGGCACATGCCGGTAGTCCCAGCTACTCTGTGGGCTGAGGGAGGAGGATCGCTTGAGTCTGGGAAGTTGAGGCTGCCATGAGCCGTGATTGTGCCACTGCACTTGAGCTTGGGCAACAAAGTGAGATCTTATCTCAAAACAAACAAACAAAATACTAATAATATGAGGTGTCATTATTATTATTTTTTAATATGTATGCATGTTTATTAACAGTTTGGTCAATGTAATATCTCAGAGAAATCTTAAGTCAGGCAAAAGATAAGTGAGCGGCCTTGTTTAAAATATTATAAAATCCTGGAGTGTCTATTTAGGGGTTGATTGGAACATTTTGGAAGAGACTGCCCTTTGCTGTTCTGCAGGCTCCTGCAGTATGAGGAGCACAGAACCTCTGAGAAAGGCATTTGGAGGGTTTTCTTTTCCTTTCATTCTTTTTAAATTATACTTTAAATTCTGGGGTACATGTGCAGAACGTGCAGGTTTGTTACATAGGTATACATGTGCCATGGTGGTTTGCTGCACCCATCAACCTGTCATCTACATTAGGTATTTCTCTTAATGCTATCCCTCCCCTATCCCCCACACCCCGACAGGCCCCGGTGTGTGATGTTCCCCTCCCTGTGTCCATGTGTTCCCATTGTTCAACTCCCACTTATGAGTGAGAACATGCGATGTTTGGTTTTCTGTTCCTGCGTTATTTTGCTGAGAATGATGGTTTCCAGCAACATCCATGTTCCTGCAAAGGACATGAACTCATCTTTTTTATGGCTGCATAGTATTCCATGGTGTATATGTGCCACATTTTCTTTATCCGGTCTATCATTGATGGGAATTTGGGTTGGTTCCAAGTCTTTGCTATTGTGAATAGTGCCACAATAAACATGCATGTGCATGTGTCTTTATAGTAGAATGATTTATAGTCCTTTGGGTATATACCCAGTAATGGAATTGCTGGGTCAAATGGTATTTCTAGTTCTAGATCCCTGAGTAATCACCACACTGTCTTCCACAACGGTTGAACTAGTTTACACTCCCACCAACCGTGTGAAAGTGTTCTTATTTCTCTACATTCTTTCCAGCATTTGTTGTTTCCTGACTTTTTATTTTATTTTTATTTTTATTTTTTGAGACAGAGTCTCGCTCTGTCACCCAGGCTGGAGTGCAGTGGAGTAATCTCGGCTCACTGCAAGCTCCACCTCCCGGGTTCATGCCATTCTCCTGCCTCAGCCTCCCGAGTAGCTGGGACTACAGGTGCCTGCCACCACGCCTGGCTAATTTTTTGTATTTTTAGTAGAGAAGGGGTTTCACCTTGTTAGCCATGATGGTCTCGATCTCCTGACCTTGTGATCTGCCCACTTTGGCCTCCCAAAGTGCTGGGATTACAGGCATGAGCCACCGTGCCTGGCCGTTTCCTGACTTTTTAATGATCGCCATTCTAACTGGCCTGAGATGGTATCTCATTGTGGTTTTGATTTGCATTTCTCTAATGACCTGTGATGATGAGCTTTTTTCATATGTTTGTTGCTTGCATAAATGTCTTCTTTTGAGAAGTGTCTGTTCATATCCTTCACCCATTTTTTGATGGGGTTGTTTGTTTTTTTCTTGTAAATTTGTTTAAGTTCTTTGTAGATTCTGGATATTAGCCCCTTGTCAGATGAGTAGATTGCAAAAATTTTCTCCCATTCTGTAGGTTGCCTGTTCACTCTGATGATATTTTCTTTTGCTGTGCAGAAGCTCTTTAGTTTAATCAGATTCCATTTGTCGATTTTGGCTTTTGTTACCATTGCTTTTGGTGTTTTAGTCAAGAAGGCTTTGCCCATGCCTATGTCCTGAATGGTATTACCTAGGTTTTCTTCTAGGGTTTTTATAGTTTAGGTCTTGTGTTTAAGTCTTTAACCCATCTTGAGCTAATTTTTGTATAAGGTGTAAGGAAGGGATCCAGTTTCAGATTTCTGCATATGGCTAGCCAGTTTTCCTAACACCATTTATTAAATAGGGAATCCTTTTCCCATTGCTTCTTTTTGCCAGGTTTGTCAAAGATCAGATGGTTGTATATGTGTGGTATTATTTCTCAGGCCTCTGTTCTGTTGCATTGGTCTGTATATCTGTTTTGGTACCTGTACCATGCTGTTTTGGTTACTGTAGACTGGTAGTATAGTTCAAAGTCAGGTAGCATGATGCCTCCAGCTTTGTTCTTTTTGCTTGGGATTGTCTTGGCTACATAGGCTCGTTTTTGGTTACATATGAAATTTAAAGCAAAAATATGGAATGCTTCACAAATTTGCACATCATCCTTGTGCAGGGCACATGCTTATCTTCTCTGTATCATTCCAATTTTAGTATATGTGCTGCTGAAGTGAGCACTGAGCTGTTATCATTAATGGTTCCACTAAAATGTACCTGGAGGGCTTCATTTATTGTATGGTGTAATATATTGCTATTTACTTATTTTTATTTATTTTATTTTATTTTATTTTATTTTATTTTATTTTATTTTTGAGACAGTCTCACTCTGTCACTCAGGCTGGAGTGTAGTGGCATGATCTTGGCTCACTGAAACCTCTGTCTCCCAGGTTCAAGCGATTCTCCTGCCTCAACCTCCCGAGTAACTGGAACCAGAGGCATGCACCACCACAGCTGGCTAATTTTTGTATTTTTAGTACAGATGGGGTTTTGCCATGTTGGCTAGTCTGGTCTCGAACCCCTGACCTTAGGCAACCCACCTGCCTTAGCCTCCCAAAGTGTTGGGATTACAGGCGTGAGCCACTGTACCCTGCTACTTAAATTTTTTGAAATGCATTTTTATCTTGCCCTAAACCAGAGGTGTCCAGTCTTTTGACTTTTCTGGGCCACATTGGAAGAAGAAGAATTGTCTGGGGCCATACATAAAATATGCCAACACTAACAATAGCTGATGAGCAAAAAAAAAAAAAAAAAAGGAAAAGAATCCTCTCAAAATCTCATAATGTTTTAATAAAGTTTACAAATTTGTGTTGGGCTGCATTCAAAGTTGTGGGTGTGGGTTAGACAAGCTTGCCCTAAACCCATTTGCAAAAATGAGCTAAGACAAGCACATATTTAATAAAGTATTAAATTTAATAAAAATAAAGTACTAAATTTCTGTTTTGTAAGAACATTAATGATAGACGTATATTATGTACAAAATGTTAATGTTTGTTAACATTTGCTGTGCACTATGAGGACCACAGAAGTATCAGTACCAGCTGTCTCAAATCTGATAAAGGAACAGCCACATCTATTTCAAAAGTTACTATGATAGTTATTTTAAGAAGATTGTAGGCAGTGGCAGAAAGTATGTTTTAAGATTACTCTGAGAAGTATGAGTTTTCATTTATAGCTATGTATTTACTTATATCATCTATATCTTCCAAATTAATTTCACTCATTTTCAATTCCAAGGTTTCCTGGGTACAAACAAACAGTAAAATCATAGCTGCTGATGTGTGTCATTAGCAGAAAAACTCATCATGCAGTTAGGTGATGCCAGCTTTATAAAGTGTAATCAGATGCTCCAAGTAGAAAAATCAGTTGATTGCAATTATATATATATATATATATATATATATATATATAGTCCAATTCATCAAAGTAAAGCTTCTGGAAGATTCCTCGAATTCAACATCTGAACATTGTTGTGAATGCTATTGTAAATGTGGTTATAAAGTTCCACATTGAAGATAAAATTATAGTTTTTACAGTGATAATAAAAACAAAACCTGGCAGAACACCGCATTTTGGTAAAACTAATGTTCTTACTCAAAAAAATGATGTGGAGCAGAAATATATTTGGAATTGGTACACTGAAAATTCATACTTGTGTCCAAACAAGCTCTGATACTCTACCAATCAAAACAGAAGCCACCGTTGCCACACTCTATGAAGGTTTTCAGATATACACAGAATAAACCATGAAATTATCTTAATGAAGTTGTTGTTGAATTAAATAACAAGTTTGGCACGGTGTTTGGTGCTCTCTTTCTTGCTACTTATCCCTGGTTGGATTTTAGAAATGTCTGGGCCTTTGTGAACCAAGCTCTGTGTTGATTTTGACATTTTTTGGAAATAAGTCCTTTAGTTTTTATTTACATTTTATTCAAAATGTGTTGAAAATCTTTATAAAAGTATTCAATAAACAGAACACCAATAACCTTTAGATTTCGAAACTTTAAGCCAATTGTAGTGTTGCCATTAATGAAAACAAAGTTTGTGAGCAGGAAACCATTGAAATTTATCTCCATAAAAGTAGGGGAGAATTGAATAAACTAAACAATGCAAATGCAAATGATGAACAGGACTTAATTTTGATATTCTATGATTTCACTTTGGTTCAACTGAAAAATAATACATATTTAGTACTAAAATGAAATGAAATGAAGAAGACCTACAACATTGCATCAAAGTATAGCTGAATGTTCAAAAGGATCTGGCAATTTTTCTGATGCCTTGTCTTATTAAAGTATTTGTCAAAGAGTGCTATTATGAGTGGAGGCAACAAAAAATGCTGTCCGTGAAAAGATTTGGGCTAAAATATTTATATTTTGTGAAAGAATTAAAAATAAGATCATTTGGAAAAAAATGATTTGAAAAATCAATGTTGTGGTGTTTGAGACAAATGCATCTTACAAGCTGATCTAAAAATATGAATACTTACATAACTATATGGGATGTGTAATATATTATAATAATGCATTAGGTTATATTATTAGGATATGTAATATAATACATTGCTATATAGTTTATAATATATATTATATGTTATATAATATTTTACATATAACATACATATATAATACAAGACGGTAATTCTGCTGTCTTTATTCTCCAATATTTGGATAATCAATATCAATAATTTATTTTGCTTTTAGTGTACAAATTTTTCATTATTTAAACTTTTAAAGAAATATTTTAAATTTTGCAATAGTTTTAAAAAATATTTAATTTTTGCAATGGAAGCTTTTTCCTTTTGAAATTACTTTTATAAATTATTTTATCTTCAAGTGGAACTACTCTATTGGTCTACCAATATACCACAATCAATGTCAGTTGATAAATATATATTCAAAAATACATCATTTTGGACGGGCGAAGTGGCTCACACCTATAATCCCAGCACTTTGGAAGGCTGAGGAGGGCCCATCACTTGAGGTCAGCAGTTCGAGATAAGCCTGACCAAAATGGTGAAACCCTGTTTCTACTAAAAATACAAAAATTAACTGGGTGTGGTGGCACAGGCCTGTAATGCCAGCTACTCAGGAGGCTGCCCAGGAGAATCACTTGAACCTGGGAAGCTGAGGCTGCAGTGAGCTGAGATCACTGTTGCCTGGACAACAAAGCTAGACTTCATCTTAAAACAAAAAAACAAAACAACAACAACAAAAAGAACTCCACATCATTTTAACTATTTCTAACAGTCACTTTTACTCCCAGGTGTTTTACTTGGATAACAAGTAGCCACCCTAACTATAAAGTCTTCATAGGCCAGGCCATTCAGGGAAAACTGACTTTGGCAAATGCAATTCTCATTAGAAAGCAAACTTTTCTGGAAACAGGAAAGGCCTAGGAAATGGTGATTCCTTCATTCGTTCCCACAAGCATTCATCCAGGACATGCTTACTACTTGCCTTCAATGGTTCTAGGTGCTAGAGACAGAGGTGATGTGGGGCTTGCATCATAAAATGAAGTGCAGGACCAGCCTCCTTATGGAATCGATGTTTCAGTTAAAAATTCAAGAGGCATTACAGAAAGCAGGCATTGCTGGAGCACAGAGTGAGAGAGTGGGTGGGGAAGGGTGAGGTAGGGGAAGCTGGCAGAGAAGGCTGAGGATACACGAGTCCACAGGAAGGATTTGGATTCAGCCTAAAGGATGTGGGAAGTTATTAATGGGTTTTAAACAGAAAGATAACTTGATGTTTTTAAAAGAAGATTGCAGGCCAAGCATGGTAGCTCACACTTGTAATCCCAGCACTTTGGGAGGCTGAGGCAAGCAGATCCCCTGAGGTCAGGAGTTTGAGACCACCCTGGCTAACATGGTGAAAACCCGTCTCTACTAAAAATACAAAAATTAGCTGGGCATGGTGGCGGGTACCTGTAATCCCAGCTACTTGGGAGGCTGAGGCAGAAGAATTACTTGAACCTGGGAGGCAGAGGTTGCAGTGAGCCAAGACCGCACCATTGAACTCCAGCCTGGGGGACGAGAGCAAGACTCCATTTCAAAAAAAAAAAACTTGCTTTTCAGGATGAAGAATAAATAGAAAGGACAATATGAACACCGGAAGGTTAATGAACAGGCGATGGCAGTCGTCCTGGTGAGGGAGGGTAGTCTGACTCGATTTGTGGGCAGTAGAGGAAGTGTGAATGAGTTTGAGAGGTGCAGGAGGTAGAAGAGAGAAGATTCCAGATGGATCTGATGCAGTGGGCTGAGAGCAGGAAGGAGCAAGGAATCAGGGATGACTCTCAATGTTATCCTTAGTGATGACAGTGCTGTTCGTTGAGACCGTGACCCCCCTAGGAAGAGCAGGCGTCAGGACACAGACATCGAGCTGGCTTGGGCTGTGCTGGTTTGGGTCGTGTTTCCAGGCTGCTTAGATGCACAAGTCCGTGAGCACTGCACCTGCCATCTAGAGCACAGGAGAACAGTCTGGGGGAAAGACACGGACAGGAGCTGTGGGCCCAGAGGTACGAGACAATGGAGTAATGAACGACTGGGAATTACAGACTGGACCATGGCAAGACTAGGGGGTGTGGTTAGGTTTGGGAAAGGCAGGACAGCCCCTGATGAGCATAGAGAATAAAAGACTGAATGGACTTCTATGTGTGGACTTGGATGAAAGCAGAGACGTGGGGTCCGTCAGTTGCGGTTGGAGGCCTGGTACTCCCTGAGGGACGTCAGACACTCAGGCCTCTCAGAATTCAGCGGTTCCTGGAAGGGGCTGTGAGGTGAGGAGGGGCTTCACCCCTGAGGTGCGTAGCAGCGATTGGCAGGCAGAGGCAATCACGTATGGGTTTGTAGTTTGGAGAGGGGTGCGAGTGACTAGGGTGAGCCCTTGGAAATGGGGGTGACAGCTTGGGACAGTGGGGGCAGAGGGAATCTGGCTGCTTCAGTTGTACGTGGGGACACAGTGGCACTGGGGTTTGGCTCATTCCAATTCACAGATGTTGTCGTCTATCTGGTCTCTCTCTGCTGCAATTTACTACACTTTCTCCTAACACTAGGCTCAGTGACATCGCTTCCAGAGGGAAAGAGAGGAAGGAGGTCCCTGGACTTTTCAAACATTCCAGGAAATGGAGGTGGCAGCAGCACTGTATCAGTACTAATGGTGGGCTGGGCTGGTGATGCCTGCTGT